CTAGATTATTTTTACAAACCCCAAAGAAGAGAAGAACATGAGTAATACAAGGGACATAGATAACTATTATGAATCCACTGGCATCTCAAGCCTGGGTTTGAGAGCTGATGGTGTAGGAGCAGGACTGCCTATGCGCTTATACGCTGCATTTCACTTGGGAACGCAGAACAAAGCCTCRTGTTGATAAAGCACAGCCAGTGTTTGATGTGTTTCAGGGAATTTCTCTTTTATAAACTGGAATCAAATAGTTGCAAAACCCACGCTAGCTCTCGGGAGGCGTTTGCATTGTATTCTCCTCTCCCTTCTTCCCACCCCGTGGCTGCAGCAGAATTTTGTGCGATGGCAACTGCAATGTCAGTAAGAACATCATAATATCCCCTTGCTCGGGACTGGCAAGGTCACTGATATGGTGTTTGACTTCTCCTTGCACGCTGAAAATCGGGTTGGCTGGAGAAGGCTACATGCTGTGCATTGCAAGGTGATTAAACAAGATATTCAGATTCRATGCACGCAGCCCAGCGTAGCACAGAGGTAAAGTGGAAGTGTGTCTGGCTTTGAGGAGCTCTTTCTCACAAGAACTCTATTGCTTTCTGCTCTCTGTTCATTTTCTGTTGAAGGTACCACAAGCATCCGTTCACATCGTGCATTCCCAGACGGTCGACTTCAGGCATCAGAGGCGGCTTCTGTAATTTATCTAGCATGTGATGCCTCTCCTGTGACTTTGTTTGTCTGTTGTATCCTAAGTGCTCTGCAAGCCAGTATTTTCAATGAGATGTTGTTAAAATGGAAATTGAATCATAGCCATCATATGACTTTTCCTTTTGCTTTATATAACTGTGGAAAATCATGAACACATTAAGCCTGGAAAAATATCCAGCTTCTGATATATGCCTTTTACCAGCTGAAATATTCATGAGAAACTCTTTCTGCCACTGTGTTTTTTACTAACAGATTCACGTGATTCTTCTTTAGCTAAAAAGGATATAGATKGGCTAGTGAAAGGGAAATGAAATCACTGAGGTGTTGAAATCAAAGCCTGTATGAAACCAAAATTCTATTTTGTCTATATGTAAAGTGCGGTTCTGTACAGGTGCAATTTTAAAGCAAGCAGACTTTAAAAAGTAGCATTTAAAAATTGTTTTGAGACTTCTAAAACACAGGAAGTTCCATCTGCWTGTGAGGAAGAGTTTTTGGACAGGCTGCCCGGGGAGGGTGTGGAGTCTCCTTCTCTGGAGGTCTTCCAAACCCGCCTGGATGCCGCCTTGTGCTCTGGGTGTCCCTGCTGGAGCAGGGGGGTTGAACTGGATGATCTCTAGAGGTCCCTTCCAACCTCAACCATTCTGTGGTCCTCAAACACACACCGTTCTATGTGTGTGATTCTACAGTGTTTTTTTTTTTTTTTTCCCAGACTTTTCCAACTAGATACAGCTAAGTTCCAGTTAGCTTAGTGGGAACATACACATCTTTTTGGACCTTGCTTTTGGACCTTGTTTTTGGACATCTAGGCTGGATGCTTCTTGGATCTAGGAAGAAATTTCATGTTTTAGTGCATTAGTGAAACCTCTAGTAGGCTGGTTGCTTAGGTAGTTAAAGCATTTACTGTAGTCCTCCATATTTCRCTAACGCTGTAGATRTTAACCCAGTGCTGAGGAACTAAASTTGAATTTGCTGTATCCAGCTTGTAAGCTGAACGCAGGGGATAAGAGGAGTTCATGTGTGTTTCAGATCATTCTACACGTCTGTCGTCTGCAATAAATGAAGATGTGAAACCTCACAGATCATAAAGAAACTATTTCTGAAAACTTTAAGCATTTTCTTCAGAAACTGTTTAAATTTAACTGTAGAACCTGCAAATAGCGAGGTGAGAAGAGAAGAYGTGGAATTTTGTTTGAGSCACTATTGCTTTTGYTGAAGTAGCAATGGGTGCATTAACAAGGTAACTTTTGCATAACAGCTTACATTGATAGGAGGAAGGGGAAGCAACATTGTCAGTGTCCTGTCTGGGCCCTCCTGTTCCTTTCTGTCTCTGAAGAATAAATCCTAAAGCCTCTCTTAGGGGCTTAAAATATCTCCCCAATTGCATTGGGTATTGCTCCT